TCCCATGCGTTGACGACCCCAGCCTCACTTACACCCATTGACAGTGTGGAGCAATTGGGGCCGGCCCCAGCAGTGGGTGCGAGCAGGACCAGCACTGTCAGAAGGTGTGAGTAGTGGCTGCTGCCCTGATTTCCCCTCAGGAGCAGGGGGAGGTGGAGAAGCCATAGGGGGCAGTTGGTGCCATCAGCTGCCGCTTGTACTTGCTGATGGTGCCGAGCGATCAGGACTGGCACCAGGTGCCAGCAGTGGTGCAAGCGGCAGCTCCTGCGCTGGCTGCAGGTGAGAGTGGAGCCAGCACTAGCAGTGGGTGTGAGTGGCGACTCCGGCACCTGCAGTAGGTCCAAGCGCCTGGCTAACTGTGGCACACAGGAGAAAAAAATTTTCAGTAACCACCTGAAGATCACCCCAATGACAGCGACTGGCACCCCGCCTTGGTATGGTGCGCCCATTCACATGCTTCACCATCCCACGGGGCCCAATGCCCACCATGTTCTGTGCACAACCCCTGGTGGTCAGTGCATGTTATAGCAACCAATTGTTCAGTTTCGGTTATTCCACCATTCGGCCTATTTGCATATTAGAATTTTATTATATAGGATGATAATTTACCATTTTATTCAAATCCCTTCATTTTGCTGGTCTAAAACATAAGACCCAGAGTTAAGACTTGCCCAGGTTCATACAACTGTGGACTGCAAGACTGCAGTGAGCACAGGAGTGGGTCTCGTCAGTGGGTGTGAGCGGGGCTGGGGCCATTAACGCGTGGGAGCGGTGCTGCTGGCAGAGAGTGGATTGGGGGCCGTGGCAGGAGCGGCTGGTTGGGGCACAGGGGCATGAACTTGTGCATACAACTACTTAGTGATAGCTCTACCTAGAATGTGCAGCTTATAAAGAAAAATATTTAATCAAAATTGTCAGTAGAAATTCCTTAAATTAATCTTTAACCATAGTATGTATGTTTTCTGTACTGTAGTTCTTATAATTATTAAAGTTTGGGTACCACAGAGATAAACTGAGAAAATTTAAAAAAGATAGTCTGGCCGAAATCAGTTTGGCTCAGTGGATAGAGCATCGGACTGCGGACTCAAGGGTCCCAGGTTTGATTCCGGTCAAGGGCATGTAACTTGGCTGCGGGCACATCCCCAGTAGGGGGTGTGCAAGAGGCAGCTGATTGATGATTCTCTAAGGTGTCCTAACCTTAATTTAAAGAATGAGAAGAAAACAAAATAAAAATAAAAATAAAAAGGACAGTCTGTAGGGAGATTGTTGTCTATTCAAACCTGTTGTCTTTAAGATAACCATCAAATCCAGTGAATGAGAAATGAAGAGATTTCTTTTTATGTTCTTGTTTCTCAATGGAACTTTTCATCTGGGTTCAATATTGAATTACTATATTTCAATTGATTGTGGCCTCTGTTAAAGATTAGAGGATTAGAGTCTAAAACTCAGACGTTCATTAAATATGCCTATAATACAACTCCACTCCTGGATGTGGAGTTTACAGCATACAGGCTCCTGGTTCCCTCTTCAGCACTTTTCCTGCTACAACCTCATTACCTACTTATTAGACAACAGCCCAGAATATGATTTGAGAAACAGAAATAAAAGGTTTTCTAACAACTTTTTCAGTGGCAATCCAGATTGCTTACTTCCTGTTTCTCTTCCATAGCCTAAGTAAATAACCTTGCTGTATAAGGGAGATATTAGTAAGTGAGAAGGCTTTTGAGTTTCATTCAGTCATTTTGATCAGCATCTTTGGTAACCTTTTTTTTTTTTTCCTCATGAGCATATGGTAAAGCAAGATGCAATGTTCGAATGATTGTGATTTCAATCTAAAGTACTATTTGTTCATTCCTGAAACCTGAGACATCTGGTGGTTAGGGCTTTGAGAAAAAAAAGTACCTTAATGTTTTACCTCTGCTGTGATTGAAGATCATGGGCAAAAATGGGTAGATGAGATGAAGCCACAAAGTTCATACATTCAATTTAAAAAGAAGAAGAAGGCTTCTGTGCTTCTAAAGTAAGAAAGGGGATAGAGATCCTTCAGTAATCTTAATGACCTCTTCCTTTCTTACTCATCTTGCACTTAGGTATAAACTATATCCAGTATGTAGCCTCCCATTAGAAAAAGATTTAAATACGTCCTATCTCCATCCCATATATATTCAGGATTATTCCCTTGTATGCATACTGTCAGATTCATATGACCATGCATTTTTGTTAATTAGAATTGTAACTCCTATATCAAAATTTCTGTGCGAATTTTTCAGACTTTGTTTTAAGATTTATTCTAGCTCACACTTTCCATTACAAGATGACACTGGACTAGAATTTGAAATAAAGATGTACTGGCCATCTTCTTGCTGTGTCCTCTCATGGCCTTTCCCTGTACCTGCCCACCTCTGTTGTCTCTTCGTCTTCATCAATCAAGCTGGATTAGGGCCCATCCTTATGATCTCCTTTAACTTTAATTACCTCTTCAAAGGCCCTATCTGTAAATATAGTCACGTTGGGAGTTAAAGCTTCAACCTACGAATTCTGAGGCTAGCAATGCTATTCATTAAACATTCTATAATATCTTGCCCTTGAGGAAGAAAATAAAATCTTAGGGAGGAAAGTGGTAAAATTATCATTCATATGTCATATCAAGTTATATAAAATATAAACTTACATGTAAATCATTTATATGAGATATCATTTATGAATGCACACGAAATAACCCTTAGCTATGTTTTTTAGCCTGTCTTAATGGAACACACGGAGATTTAGCAAAGGATCAGCCCAGCAGATTAACAATTCACATTCTGTTTGCCAGGAGAGACAAGATCCAGAGCCAGATGAGACTGATCTCTTGCATCTGTTCTGAGGTCAAATCTACAGATTTGGCCTTTATTCCCTGGAAGTGTGGCTTCCACACGCCTGAGGCTGACTTAAGTGGCTTCAAAAGGCAGAGCCACAGGACTGAGGTGCTTCGGCCACAAGCATGCAGTAAACAAAGGCTGCTGTAGTCCTGGGCACAAATAAGTCTGCGTCCTGTCTCCTCCTGAAGGGCAGACCACTCCAGTCTTTTCAGAGCACTGCTCTGTTCTGTTGGATCATTGACAGTGCTCCCACTTCTGAATTCTTTTCATCATCTGTGTTAGGATTGCCAGATTTAGTAAATAAAAAATATAGGGTGCCCAGTTAAATTTGAATTTCAGATAAACAATGAATATTTTCAGTACAAATCTGTCTCATGCAATATTTGGGACATAACACACCAAAAAAAGTATATTTTTATCATGAGAAATACTTATACTAAAAATAACATTCAAATTAACTGTGGGTCCTATATTTTATCTGACAACTTTATTTTGAGTTCAGGAACGAATCCTCTCCTTGCAAATTCCCCGCACCACCAGCCTCTTAAACTACTATCACCAACTTCATAAATTTAATTTCCTGGTCTTAATTTGGTGCTGCGCCAGAGCATGCAAACCCCAAGTTTCAGACTCCCTTCTATTGTACTACTATAATACATGGTTATGGGTATTCGATGTTAAAACAATAAAATTAGTTTGTCTCAACTTTTCTCCCATGCTGAAGTATTTACATATTTATATCAATGCCCCATAACACTGTTAGGATGGCATTCCTAGAGATCATGTGCTTACTCCTGCGGGGAGGACTCTCTAAGCCTGGGAACACTGGACTCAATCTACTCACCTGTAAAATCTGTGATTGAATTCAAGGTATTTTCCCCAAGGTTCCTACAAACTAGTCCTTGCTACAGTTCTCTAAATGAAGGTTCCATTAATGCTCTCATTTGCCTGGTGAAACCAATTGTTCCTATTTCTGTTGAATCGCTTTTCTCTTCAAGTAAGTAGTGTTTAGGTTACCAAATAAGTAGGGTTTAGATGACCCGGTTAATGGCTTCACCTGTAAAAAGTTAGATCTAAAAAGTTAGATCTAAATTCCTCAAGGGCCAAATAATGTCCCCTTTATTTCTTTCCCCCCCCCCACTGGACCTCACACCGGACTTTGCGCACGGTGTGTGGTCAGATGAAGGTGCTGACAATGATGAAGCAACTTCCTCACTTGGTCTGACTGTCCCGTCCTGTGCTGGGGACAGAAGCCCTCTCCTGAGCCGCTCATTGTTCTCTTCCGCCATCTAGTGGCATCAGGGTCGCTCTCGTCCGCTCAACTTGCTGTTCAGAGCTGCAAAGATTTCAAAGATTGTAAATCAAGTAAATGAATTGTTTTATTGTCGTTATAGTAAAAAGGGGATTTATAGAGTGTTTCAAGAGATAAAATGCAATAAGTGTTGATAAAAATAAGTATAACACAATAGCCAACTTTAATACCCAAATAGTATAGATTAAATTCATGCAATTTAATCTTTAATATGTTCAGATGTTATCTTGAACGTTGAAGATCAAAAGTATGACCTAGCCTAAATGTGTTATAAAGAAGAATCATCCTCATGTGCTTTTGTATAATGTTAAAGGATTTTTTTTTACTTTAATGTAATCAATTTTCACAGCAGATGAAAATGAAAGGGGAAGGAAATATAAATCTGATAAACATAGAGAATATCTCAGTTCTGTATTTAACCATTTGTCTTTAATTAATTTAGAACTTACCATTATTATTAGTACATGCAATATAATTTTTAATGGGTGTTGAATGATATTTAGCTTTAATGTCCTATAATCTGGAATTATATTCACATGGCATGATGGTTTAATTGTGTGAATCTAAAGTGAAAATAAATTTTCCTAATGAATGAAATAAAATATTTCTGAAGTGTGACTTATTTCCCATTAAAGCTGTTTCCATTGAATAACTATTATAGGAAGAATATTTCTGAGATATTAACATTATTCTGCTTTTAATTTTAGTTAAATGCTAACACTATCACTCAGTATTTAGGTCTTTCTAACAAATGATATTTAAATGGAATGCCATTTGTTTTTAACATGCTTGCGAGCCAGCTGAGAAATCTCCAATGTGTTTTCCAGGGTGGGAAAATCCCCATCAGATGGACAGCCCCAGAAGCTATCGCCTACAGAAAATTCTCCTCCGCGAGTGATGCATGGAGCTATGGCATCGTCATGTGGGAGGTCATGTCCTACGGAGAGAGACCGTACTGGGAGATGTCTAACCAAGATGTAAGTGTCACGGGTAGCAGTTGAGCTGCCATTTTGTGAGTATGAACACATCAGCATTGAGGGGGAAATGTGCCTTTTGCCCTCGCTCAGCCTAGACCTGTGGCTGAGATTGAAAAGCTAAGTAACTTTTCTCTCTGAGCTGTATTTGGTGTCAGAGGGCCCAGCTGATGGGCTTTGCCATGTGAGGACATGATCTGCACCCCACAGCTGGGACTTTCACACATGTTATTCTAATGCAGAATAAACACGGTTATGCTGCATTAGACCTGCAAGTAACAAAAAAGGAAGAGTAGTGTTTATCTTTTATTTCTTCCTTAGGGCAATTGAATGTGCCACGGTAAACAGCAAAGTATCTCTGACTATTTATTGCTTAGTAGAAAAAAATTGAATGTTCTCAGGCACTGGATCATCAATATATGTCATCCAGTATGGTTCTTTTAAGATATGTACATGACCCTTTATACATTCTATTTTGTTTCTGTTTTATCGATAAAAATTACCTTGGTGGTTTAATACAGAATAGGATGGTTAACACACATTTGACCTCTGTGACCTATCCAGAGGGATAGAGACGATAGTCAGAAAATGCAAGTACCCAGATGATGCAAATAAGTGTGCTGTCAGAACTGAAAATATATATTAATATCCTACTTTCTCAAAGTATCCAGTGGTTTCTGAGGCAATGGCAATGGAAAATCGCCTCTAACGGGATTCTGAGTGTTCAAAGGAGAGAGCAAAGACAGTGGAGCTACAGAAGATCCCTAAGCACACCCAGAGGACAGCTACTGTCTCATCTCCTTCCTTTTCCATAGTCAGTTTCTTGAGCAGCCCCTCCACGCCTCATTGTTCTTTCTCAACTTCAAGTTGTCCAAGTATCTTAATAGCTCATTCAGTTGGTGCATTTAAACAATGGAATACTACATGGAAATAAAAAGAAAGAACCCTTATCTTTTGCAACAGCTTGGATAAACCTGGAGAGTATTATGCTGAGCAAAATAAGCCAGTCAGAGAAAGATAAGTACCCCATGATCTCACTTGTATGTGGAATCTAATGAACCAAATAAACTGATGATCAAAAATAGTCCCAGAGACATAGAAGCATAAATAGATAGTTGAACTTCAGAGGATAAGCAGGGGATAGCAGGTAGGAAAGAATCAACCAATGGACTTGTGTGCATATATGCATAACCCTTGAACACAGACAGTGGGGTGGTGAGGGTGTGCGGGGGTTACGGGAGCTGGCTGAAATTGGCTAAAGGGAAGAAAAGAAGGACATATGTAATACTTTCAACAATAAAGATTTTTTTAATAATAACTTATTCAGTCACAGAGTTTATATGATTAGCTCGCCATGGCTATTACTTTTCCCTGCCACAGAGTGCTACTTTCAAAGCTGAGCCCTGCTCGGTCCTGTGGGTGCCTGCTGACTCTGTGGAGAATGCCAGTTTCAGGCAGCAGGTTTGAGGTCATACACACTGCTCAGTCATCACTCTGCAAAGCACATCATCAACACACAAAGTCATCAAGGCTGGACCCCTCAGTGCAGAGTGTGCCATAGCCAGCCACCTCTGCTCCACTCCCATCGCTTGGACTTTGGATCCAGGTCATTTGCCTAGAGTCTATCTACTACTCTTCAGGGAACTTTAAGTGAAGGAACTCACTGCTTCTCCCTGCCACTGGGTGTTGGTTGGGGCAGCTTATAACTGTCTTTCCAGCTCTTCTTAAAAATTTAACCTAACAAAACTTCCCTCTTCAGCCCCAGAAGGAACCCATTTTTATTCTTAACTCCTTATCCAAGGTAATGGAAGCTCTGGATTCAGTTACCATAGCTCCTGCTCTACTCTAACTCCAGATCATGTTTGCTTACTTGTTCTCCTTTCACAGGACTGAAATATGCCATTTAAGCAAATCTCAAGAATAAAGCGCCCCCTTCAGATGAGTTGAAGTCCTCACTGCACAGGACAGCCCTCACTTCAAGTATCTTACTGAATGGCACCCCAGTTAGTCCTTGTTTTAACCAGTTTCCTGACAGACTTAACATGAAAAACTGACTAACTCAGAAGTCTCCAAACTTTACTAAATATATCCTTACCAGTAAAAAATTCTTAAGCATTCATAGCTGACATGTACATACTTATTTGCATAATATATATAAGAACTACTGTACTAATATAATCATTTATTCATTTACATATATTCACTGGGTGCCTGCTCTTCTTCAAGAACTAGAGAATGAAACAGAAAAAATGTTACATCTGGAAAGGACCAAAAAGATTATCTGGTCTAACCCAGTCGGTGTGCTCAGTGGTTGAGCATCAACCCAGGAACCAGGAGGTCATAGTTCCATTCTTGGTCAAGGCACATGTCCAAGGTTGCAGGTTCAATCCCAGTAGGGGATGTGAAGAAGGCAGCTGGTTGATGAGGTTTCTCTCTCATCAATGTTCCTCTCTATTCCTACCCCTTCCTCTCTCTTTAAAAAATATCAATAAAAACATATTTTTAAAAAATATAATATCTAGTCCCACCCAAGTCCAACTTGATTATGAAAATGAGGGATAGAGAAGCGACATGATTTTCATAGAAGTACATAGTAAGTGATTTAACAGTGCTCTTGGAAGACAATGCTAATAAAATTCTAAAATAGTGGTCAGCAAACTCATTAGTCAACAGAGAGGCAAACCGCAGCTCATGAGCCGCATGTGGCTCGCGAGCCACAGGCTGCCGACCACTGTTCTAGAATAAGAAAGGAGAAGAAATAGATGCTTCTTTCGTGGTGGTTTGGTTTATAGTCCACGTGGCTCCCCATGAGGAACCGGTGGCTTCTTGCCCTTGTGGAACTTACCTTATAGGGAGAAGGAAACAGACTGTAAACACGTAATAAGTAGAAGATACAGTATGTAACAGGTTAATCAAGGGGGGTGGAAAAAACAAGAAAGTAGGATAAAAAATGCTGGAGGTTAATTTCAAATATCTTACATAATACTAGACAAACATGTAAATTGACCATGCCTCCGCTACACCCACAGCCAATCAGAGTGAGTATGCAAATTAGAATGCCAAAGATAGTGGCCACCCAGCTGCTCCAGGTGCGGAGTGGCCAGGCAGGGCAGGGCATGAGAAGAAGGGCAGGGGGTGAAGGGATCTACAGGAGCAGAGTGCCGCTGCGAAGACAAGACTGCAGACTCTGGCCAGAGTCTGTAACAAAGATGGAGACTGCAGACTCTGGCCAGAGTCAAGGCCTGGGCCCCAGGTGCTAGAGGAAAAACAGTGCTGGAAGCCAAGGGAAGGAAGGCCTATTGCATGAATCTCTTCGTGCAACAGGCCTCTAGTATTCTACCTAATAAAAGAGTAATATGCAGATTGACCATCACTCTAACACACAAGATGGCTGCCCCCATGTGCTCAAAGATTCTGCCCCCATGTGGACACAAGATGGCCACCACAAGATGGCCAGCAGGGGAGGGCAGTTGGGAGGCACCAGGCCTGCAAGGAAGCACAGTTGGGGGTGATCAAGTCTGCAGGGGAAGGCAGTTAAGGGTGAGCAAGCCGGCAGAGGAGGGAAGTTGGGTGACTGGGCTACAGGGAAGGACATTTGGGGGGGACCAGGCCTGCAGGGAAGGGCAGTTAGGGGTGACAAGGCCTGCAGGGGAAGACAGTTGGGGGTGACCAGGCCTGTAGGGGAGGGCAGTTAGGGGCAATCAGGCTTAAGAGGAATATTACAACTATTATTTTATAATCTCTGCAGAAATAGTTAACATACTTACCTCAGCAAAGGAATGATTCAAATTGTTCTTTTCAGAATTTTAGGACATTTCTGAATCGCTATCGAGGTGTTAAGAATGAGACAGGACTACTACAGAGCAGAGCAGGTACAAGTAAAGATACCAGACAAAACAGATATGTTTTTTAGGAGAGCAGCCTCTGGAAGAAATGTGTGGTTTCCAACTTAGACCACCATGTAAATTTTGCCTAGAATAGTCCAAACCCTGTTGTCAATCCCTTCTTCCTGGATCTTGCCCAATAGTTTACCCAGTCATTCTGGCCCAGTGTCTAGATGAACTGTAGCCAAGATGACCATTTAGAGAGCAATTCTGTCTCCTAAACCTCATTTGGCCACAAAGCCTATATCTGGAACCAGAAGCTACTGCAGCCAGGAATAGACAGACTCCCGACATTAAGCCCATTCTCATCCACTCAGGATTGCCTGTGTCCATGTCACAAGGTTGAACTCTCTCCAGCTAGAGCTTAGTTGTTGTTTAAGCACCAGGTAGGGGTTAAGGTGGCTGTCTTCATGGTATTTGAGTGGTTACCAAAATATATTCAAGCAAGAATCTGAAGATCAGGAGAACAAAAAGCTCTGGGGTGAAGGGTTGGGGAGGAGGCAAACCCTTGTTCTAAGATGGATACAAGACTAAAGGAAAGAACTAAGAACTATTTTTGTTTTGTTTACTTGTATTTTTTTTTATTTTTGTGTTTGACTTTCTGCAACCAATGTTCATTTTAAATAAAGAAAGTAATATTTTAAACAATAAAAATTCAACATGTCCTGTTTGAACATTTTATATTTTTATTACAGTTTGGTGAGTTTAACTGAGCTATGGGCTTAACTAAATATGGAATGTTAACATGTTTTATGATCTTAAATGAGGTTAGAAAATTACAGATAGCTTTGATGAAAGAGTCTTTCCTTTCTGCAGACTGTGGCATATTTTATTATTATGAACAATTCTGAGTTTGCAGTATCTGTTTTAGTGAATAGCACAATGTTTCCCAAAGGTCAGTGGTATTGTATGGAAAGGAAATGAGGAAAATATAATAGAATGCATTGGACTAGTCCTTAGAAGGCCTCACAATCATAACACCTTAGCCATCCAGCAGTTACTTACTAAACACATGCCGGTCGCTGGGTCAGATGTGCCTGTGGGTTGGAGATGGAGAATTAGAAAACACAGTCCTCACTCTCAAGGAGCCCAGTTTGTAGATGAGGAGATGAAGTTCTG